AGTAGTGTTCATCGATGACATCTTGGTTTATTCACGGACTCAGGAGGAGCATGCTAGACATTTGCAATTGGTTCTGAGTGTGTTGAGAGAGCACAAGCTGTATGCAAAATTGTCTAAGTGTGAATTCTGGTTGAGTGAGGTGACATTCTTAGGACATGTTATCTCTGCTACCGGTATCCAGGTAGACCCCAGCAAGATTTCAGCCATAGTGGATTTGAAGACTCCGCGGAATGTTCGTGAGGTAAGGAGCTTCCTTGGGTTAGCCGGTTACTATCGCCGATTTGTTAAGGGCTTCGCTTCGATCGCTACTCCATTGAACAAGCTACTGCGTAAGGACATCAAATTTGAGTGGAAAGAAGTGTGCGAGCGCAGTTTTGATCAACTGAAGGAGTGCCTGACCCAGGCACCAGTCTTGATTCAACCTACTCCTGGCATCGAGTATACCATCTATAGTGACGCATCTCATAGCAGCTTAGGTTGTGTACTGATGCAGTTGAGTAAGGTAGTGGCCTACGCATCGAGACAGTTGAAGACTCACGAGGAGAACTACCCGACACATGATTTAGAGTTGGCATCCGTGGTGTTCGCCTTGAAGATTTGGCGCCACTACATCTTTGGAGAGAGGATTCACATCTTCACCGATCACAAGAGTTTGAGGTACCTACTCACCCAGAAGGAGCTGAATCTTAGACAACGCCGAAGGTTGGAGCTGATCAAGGATTACGATTTAGTCATTGAGTATCACCCGGGCAAGGCTAACATCGTGGCCGATGCTTTGAGCAGAAAATCGTTAGCAGAGCTACAGCTTCAGTCCCTGTTAGAGCAGGAGATCCGTACAGCACAGAGGGGTGATGAGTTTTGTCAGAAGACTCGAGAGTTAGTTCCTACAGGAAAGAGGCCCGAGTTTGCAATTTGCGATGACGGAGTCTTGTACTATCGTGAACGCCTAGTGGTGCCCCGCGGTGAAGTGAGGGATCGCTTGTTACGCGAGGCTCACGGAACCGTTTACACTATGCACCCGGGTAGTAACAAGATGTATCAGGATTTGAAGAAATCCTATTGGTGGCCAGGTATGAAAAAGGAAATCTCCGAGTTCACTGCGCGCTGTTTGACTTGTCAGCAAGTCAAAGCTGAGCACCAGGTTCCGACAGGGTTGCTGCACCCTCCTACCATTCCGGAATGGAAGTGGGAAAGGATCACTATGGACTTTGTGATAGGATTGCCACGATCTTCACGAAAGAATGACGCCATCTGGGTCATTGTTGACAGGTTGACGAAGTCCGCTCATTTTCTACCCGTCAGACGTGACTCTTCCTTGGATAAATTGGCAGACTTATACGTTAGAAAGATAGTTCGTTTGCACTGTGCACCGCTGTCAATCATATCTGATAGAGATCCCCGGTTCACTTCGAAGTTCTGGAGAGGACTTCAGAAGGCTTTTGGCACAGCTTTGAACCTTAGTACGGCATTTCACCCTCAGACCGATGGCCAGTCTGAGAGGGTGATACAGATTGTCGAGGATATGATGCGAGCTTGTGTGATCGACTTTGGAGAAGATTGGGAGCGTTACTTGCCGTTGATGGAGTTTGCATATAATAACAGTTACCAGGCGAGTATTCAGATGGCTCCGTATGAGGCACTCTACGGCAGAAAGTGCCGAACCCCAATTTGTTGGACAGAGCTTAGCGAGCGTAAGCTCGAGGGACCAGATATTGTGCA